CCCGGGTGTCCCCCAGCCCCCCCGGGATGCTCCCAGTACTGAACTGGGATTTCCTGGGATCCTTCCCAGTCCCACTGCGGGGTTCCCGCGATCCCTCCCGGCAGCACCGCTGGGATCGTCCCAGTGCGGTGCTGGGACTTACTGGGACCCACTGGGGCATTCCCAGCCCTTACTGGGACATTCCCGGTCCTTACTGGGACCCACTGGGACCCCCCCAGTCCTTACTGGGACCCTCCCGATCCTTACTGGGACATTCCCGGTCCTTACCGGGACATTCCCAGTCCTTACTGGGACGCTCCCGGTCCTTACTGGGACATTCCCAGTCCTTACTGGGACGCTCCCGGTCCTTACCGGGACGCTCCCGGTCCTTACTGGGACGCTCCCGGTCCTTACCGGGACATTCCCGGTCCTTACTGGGACATTCCCGGTCCTTACTGGGACCCTCCCGGTCCTTACTGGGACCCTCCCGGTCCTTACTGGGACATTCCCAGTCCTTACTGGGACATTCCCGGTCCTTACTGGGACATTCCCGGTCCTTACTGGGACGCTCCCGGTCCTTACTGGGACATTCCCGGTCCTTACTGGGACATTCCCGATCATTACTGGGACATTCCCAGTCCTTACTGGGACATTCCCGGTCCTTACTGGGACATTCCCGGTCCTTACTGGGACATTCCCGGTCCTTACTGGGACGCTCCCGGTCCTTACTGGGACGCTCCCGGTCCTTACTGGGACATTCCCGATCATTACTGGGACATTCCCAGTCCTTACTGGGACATTCCCGGTCCTTACTGGGACATTCCCGGTCCTTACTGGGACATTCCCAGTCCTTACTGGGACATTCCCGGTCCTTACTGGGACATTCCCAGTCCTTACTGGGACCCTCCCGGTCCTTACCGGGACATTCCCGGTCCTTACTGGGACATTCCCGGTCCTTACTGGGACAGTCCCAGTCCTTACTGGGACGCTCCCGGTCCTTACCGGTCTCCTCCGCCAGCAGCAGCACCAGGGGCTGCAGCCCGGGGGTCTCCCGGAGGCGGCTCCGGAGGGTCCCGAGGCTCCCGGGGGGGGTCCCGGAGGAGTTCCCGGGGGGGTTCCCGGGGTTCCCGATGGGTCGGGGGGGGTTCCCGGGGGTCCCGAGCCGCCGCAGCTCCCGCAGACACTCCGCGGCCGCCGCCGGGGCCCCCCCCGCGCCCCCCGGGCGCAGCAGCAGCGCCGCCAGCGCCGCGACCCCCGCCCGGTCCCCGGTGGCCACCAGCACGGTCAGGGTGGCGAGCAGCAGCAGCGCCCGGGGGGGCGCGGGGGGCGCGGGGGGCTCGGCCAGCAGCTCCAGCAGAGCCCCCCCGGGACCCGGGGACCCCTCCCCACCCTGGGACCCCTCCCCACCCTGGGACCCCTCCCCACACAGCGCCCGAGGCGTCTCCAGCAGCAGCAGCAGCAGCTCCGGCTGCAAATTGGGGAGGGGGGAAATGAGGGGAG